CACCTTTTTAAACGGTAACTGTAACGGAATACAGTTACTCATATTTTGTATTTTAAATACGTAACGGCGGTACATGTATTCCGTTACTCCCCAACACTGCTTAAAGTTTGGTATTTAGGTGTTGTGCGTGCCTATTAGCGTTTCAATGAACTTGCTAAACATAAGCTCCACCTCTAGCCTAAACTGAACTCTAACATTGCAGTCCCTGTCTTGCTAGCACACCCTAACATGACAATCATATATAGGAAACGGGATGAGAAAACACCTTATGATCCAGCGGGCTTGAAAGGCTATCACTTTTCAAGAAATTGAATCTAGATAAAAATCACCAAAAAATCAATACCGCCTGGCTTGTGTGTCAATTTGGTAAGATATCAGACAGATGCATTTGCAGAAGCATTTTCATAGGAAGTCGTCGGATGAGCCTACACTTAATAAAACTGTTAAAAGTTAATATAAAATCTTGACTCTGAAAAAGTGAGCCAGGCCTGTCAGAACTTTTTACATGGCTGTGTCTTTTAGCTCAATGCAGGAAATATGACGCATTATCTTTCTGACCATCCAGGCATTAAATTGAACTCTTACACTGCAGTCCCTGTCTGCTCTGATGGTGGTTACAGACTTGATGAGCCCTTCACGCACAAGGGGAAACATTAAGATGACTCCTCTTGATTAATTTAAAAACTTCATAAGTGACACATACACTTACAATATAATAGACAGAAACTTTTGACGCCTTAGTAGAAGAGCAGCATTGTGTCTGCGGGGCCTATGTTCTCTTACAAGCGGGATGCGCAGTGTGACGGTGGCAATCAGTTGTTGTCCGTGTGTTTTACCACATTACTCTTAACCTGAGCTGTTTCCCATTTAAAATTCTCTCCAGTGTTGCTTACTTTTAAATCAGGTTTAGCATTAAAGCTCTGTGTCAACAGAAAAAATAATCCTAATCCTTTGCTGAGGCAAAAAATCATATGTAAACCAGCATAGGCTACATGTGTATCATTTGAATCCCCAGTGTGTGTATCCAAACAGACTTACCAAGGGCAGGCTCAGCACAGTCCTTGTACTGCTCAGGTGTGCAGTACGAAGCATCTCCTAGGAGCAGTTTAAATAAGACACATTAGAAGAGGTGTTGACCCAGTGGTGTTTAAACATTAAGTTCTTGACACACTCGCACCATAAACACATGGATGAATGAATCAATCTGCAAGGCACAGCACCTTTTCCCCTGCCAGACACATAATCCCAGGGCTTTTTAAATGCCAACACCTGATCCAGCATTGACTTATCATATCATTATGAGGCCTCTCCATGGAGTTAAATCTCATAAAACCGTGCTGGAAACTCTTGCTGATGAATACGTGCTCAATACCACATCACCTCTACTTTGATGTTTTTCTGCCCAGTCCTGTCAGAACAGCGGGGGAGCTTACCAGGCATGTGCACCATCCTGCAGTTGCAATTCTCCACTATGTAGCGTGTTTCACAGTCGATCCTGCAGGCAGTTACACTGTAGACCTGGAAAAAGCCAGACTCCAGAGCTTTCGACTCACACTCGCCCCATGGGGGAGGCAGGTAGGTCAGCTACAGGTAGGAAATAAAGTGGAGGTTGGTTAAGGATGGATGTCTTTGGAGGCCTGTGGTATTACATAGTAATAATACATATAATGATGTAGACCAAGAACTAAGAAAGAAAAGGACCTACA